TAAAGAGACCAGAGAAAAAACCAACACCATGGCATCTTTAAAGAATCCTGACCAACTGGTTCTGGTTTCTTTCTAGTTCATCTGAAAAACAAGCAATCCTGGTCCTTGTTTCCAAGGTGCTGCTGCCATGTTGGCTGCCCCAAAGCTGGAGCACTCCTCTCCTCCACAGCCCTTCCTGTAGAAGCCGGAGTCTGCAGGGCTCGGCCTGTGGGATCTGCCAGGAGCAGCCCTGCAACAGAGCTCAGCTGTGCTGAAATCCAGGTTGGGTTGCAAGGGCTCTAGATCAGGAACCACGGCTGAGGCAGGAAGCCTGGAGGAGCTGGGGCTGCCAAGCTCCGCTGCTTTCAGTCGCTTACATCATGGGTGTCTCAAATATTTCAAAACGCTGGGGGAAAATTATTTCATTGGGAAATTTTCTAAGGTTAGTCCAAACACAATTATTTTTTCTTCACTCACAATTTCAGAATTTCTTGAGTTTGATCACATCTGTGACTGATGAACTGGGAAATATTTGTCTTTTTTATGAATATACTGAATACTTCTGTGTCTCTGAGGATGATGGGTTATTTGCTATGGATTTGGATCAAGAACGTTGGCTAAAGAAACTAGTGAAAAAGTAAGACTCAGATCAATGTCCTTGAGGAAACACAAGAAACCAGGGAATAGGACAGAGAATTAACAAATTGGCAAAAGAGTAAGTGTGAAAGATGATAGGTAAACATGGAGCCAGGGAGGCAGAAATTGCCAAAACCAGAGCTGGAATTTACTACAGTAGTTTATATATGAAAGATTGAAGGAAAGAATACGTGAAGAAGCAGAGCAAGATGCGTTTATTGGCCTATTTGGAGGATGGGAGGTTATCCTTCCCACTGTATTCCTTCGGTTGCATGGAGGAGGGATGCAGATATCCTCAGTATTTGATTTCCAAGAGCACTTCAGCCACCTTCCTTGTCACAGATCTCTGACAGGAGAGGACAGACAGATGCCAGGCAGAGCAGGCCTGGCTGTGTTGCATGTGGAGGGAGGAGGTGATGATCCCCGTGCCAGGCAGCCGGCCTGCCCGGCTCTAATGCATGACCCCACATGGAGATTGTGGCAACCAGAACTGATGACGGAGGTTTATTAACAGCCTAAAACACAGCGTTGTTGTTAAAGATGATAACAGTTTTTCCATTGAGTGACTGGAAGTAAAATCAAGCTTCATGCGAAGCTTAAAGAGTCCAAATGTTTGAGTGCGTTTCTCAACTCTTCCCGCACGGCTGCTGGATCTGCTGGGTGTCTCTCAGCAGCTCCTTGGAGCAGAAGCACAGGGTGACAAGGAGAGAGAGACGTTGCATGCTGTGCAGGGAGATGTGTTCCGACTGAAATACCGCCTGCAGCAAACAGGGCAGCATTTGCTTGGGACAATGTGAAACCGTGCGTGGCTGCTGTGGACACATCAGGCGTCGGAAGAACTGGGTGAATGCTGCCACCTATTGATTGACGCCATGCAAAGGAGCGCCGCCCAGCCGCCCCGAGCCTTTGTACACAACTGGCTGCGGTTTTATCATCTTCCACGGGAAAACATCCTCCCTCATTCCAGAAGTGTCACCTGGACCCAGAAGAAACAAACAACTCGCTAAATGGAATTATTGGCCAATAAAACGTACTGCTGCTAAAAATATCTATTGTGCGTAAAGCTGAGATTAATCCAGAGTAAATATTTTGGTAAACGTGTCAGGTAAGAGGCCACCCAAACTGGCTGATTTACATGAAACGTATTTCTAAACTCGCATCTTTGTAATAATATACAGACTTTGTGATGTAATAATAATAATAACTTCTGCAGTCGGCTCCTGCTGTGTGCTACAGGTAGGTGAGCTTCTGGAGATCAAACATGGAATGCAAGTTGGTCACAACAGGTTGTTCAAAGAAGTAGTTTCAGTACAACAAAGAAAACTTTCTGCTCAGCTGTAAATATTCAGTATTTACATATGAAATATAGATAAGTGGAATAATAGATGGCTGACATCTGAGTCGTCTCACGGACTCACTGAAGGCCGTGCTCACGTGGGTTTCTGTGCAGGATCAGACGAACAGGTCTGCTTGCGTGTGTTTTATCACAAGCACAGCGTTTTGTTGTCTGTGAGTCTTTGAGGCTTTTCCATTTCCAGAATGAAGTGTAGGTGTGCACTGGACTTGCACACCATCATCGCTTTTGGTAATTAGTTTCATGTTTCATCATTTGGTAGACTTATGTTTACCTCCCTTACCTTACTGAGTGTTTTTTGCCTTTTGTCTTTTGAACAGTTTAAGAGTGAACTTAAATCTCTATGACAAGAAGATTAGTGGTAATGTTTTCTTGGTATATACAAACTAATTATCTTTTAAAGAACTAGCTGGGGCAAGAAAATGTGGGGTTTTTTTGTTAAAAAAAATTCAGTTCTATTAAACAGTATTTGAGTAGCAATAGAGAAGTACTAAGAGCCTTAAAAATAGAAAAGGCAATTGCAAAAGGTCTGCTTTCCATGAAGCTGGAAGTAGCACAGGAGAGAAAGGGAGGAGTGTTGGTATACAATGAGAAACTGCTATAAAGACTTCAAGAATATATTAGTTCTAGTAAAATAACTTTAGCTTTTTGTACTGAAAACAGCTGGAAAGTGAGAATTCCCTCATGAGAATATTCCATAAATGGGTCTATGGGGACCTAAAAACTTTATCACAGATTTTGCCACAGAAGAAGCATCCCTGTTCGGGACAGCATTGAAAACAGAATTTTTATGCTTGTGTGTAAGTAATTTTACTTAGTGCTCATAAATTTCGGATTTTCAGCATGGTTTTTTCCTTATAGAATCCCAGTGTTAAAGAGGTATTTGGTGGTTTTCGAAAGATTTCCAATCTTTCTCCTGTTGGCAAGGAGCAGTGAGCTCAGTCAGCTGTCTGCAGCCTGCTGAGTAACGATCCTCCAGCACTGCAGGGTGGGAGGGAATCCTGCACACGTACAGCTTGGGATTTCCACAGCACAGAAAGGAAATGCTGCGTGATGTGTATTTTCAGAGGGCTCTATAAGTCTCAGTTGCAACAAAACATTCAGGTATTTGAATTTGATATCCACGTCAGAAGTCTTTGAAGTGCACCTATGCATGTTTGCATATACGTACAAAGAGGGACAAAATACACACTGAGAAAATATATCCCTCAAAAAAAAAAAAAAGAAGGTTGGAGCATATCCACACTAACTTTTAAAGTATAGGATAGAAAGTATATCATAGAGTAGCATAGAATAGAAAGTGTATCATAGAGTAGCATAGAATAGAAAGTGTATCATAGAATAGCATAGAATAGAAAGTATATCATAGAGTAGCATAGAATAGAAAGTGTATCATAGAATAGCATAGAATAGAAAGTATATCATAGAGTAGCATAGAACAGAAAGTGTATCATAGAGTAGCATAGAATAGAAAGTGTATCATAGAGTAGCATAGAACAGAAAGTGTATCATAGAGTAGCATAGAACAGAAAGTGTATCATAGAGTAGCATAGAACAGAAAGTGTATCATAGAGTAGCATAGAATAGAAAGTGTATCATAGAGTAGCATAGAACAGAAAGTGTATCATAGAATAGCATAGAATAGAAAGTATGTCATAGAATAGCATAGAATAGAAAGTATGTCATAGAATAGCATAGAATAGAAAGTATGTCATAGAATAGCATAGAATAGAAAGTATGTCATAGAATAGCATAGCACAGAAAGTATATAAGTTCAAGTCTTGTGACAGACGAGTGCCAGGCCTAGGGCTAGGTTTTATCTTCAGCTGTTTCTGCAAACGGGTGCTATTTGGAATGAAGTTCAGAACCTTTATCTGAGGCTTTCAAGTGTGGGAGAACGCTTCCAACATTTTCCAAAATCAAGCACCACATCTGAATAAAATCAGTGATTTTTTATTTTTATTTTTTTAATGTAACAGTGGCTCCCCTTTAAAAGCAATTTGAAAAAGTAACTAACAGTAACAAAAAAACCCACTGACTGCTCCCCCTACCTTTCCTGTAGATACAAACAGTTCTTTGCTATGACAGACCCAGAAATGAGTGTCTCATTTTTTCTCATGCCAGATGTTCAGCAGGATCGTTCCTATTAATGAGCCCACTGCACTGTTCAGGAAGACTAACGATTTCATAAACTGCTGCTTAGTTTTGTTTGTCACTTCCATTATTATTAGATTTCTATGGCTGTTCTATGGTTATTCCTTACTCTGCATTGTGGATTTCTATGGGATCCAGTGTTAATCCCATTTGCCCTTTAGTAAAAAAACCAATAATAACACACGCATAGTTTGAAATATCACTGTTTTCCTATTTTGGAAGCTAGTAGAGCAGATATGAACACTACAGGATCTCTTTTAGCTGAAATGAAGGCATCAGTAAAATATGTTTTTTCTTATTCACCTAGACATCATTTTTAAACATAATCTTCTTCGGCTGGGGGCTTTCAAATGATCTTGCAGATGTCCCATAGCTATGGATGTGGCTGCTGCTTTTGTTGCTATGATTGCAGACAGCTGTAGTGGCTGCCTACCTGAAGATAGAAGAAACAATACATCACGTGCAACATGCATTACTGGACAGAGTGTAGGACTGGGGTTCTTTTTTTCTCCTTTTATTGATTGAACATAAAACTAACTGCTTCCCAATGGCTGTTAATGCCTTTTTGGTCATATTTTATGGCAACTTAATGACAACTGCAGTTTTGTTTACTCTGGCAGTAATTATTTGTTGTCCTTTCATGCTGTGCTGCTGATCAATTTTAAGGAATTCAACAAGCTAAAAGCAGAGAGAGGTCGTGGCATCTTTGGAAGCAAAAGCTTTAGGTGTTCATCATAGAGTCAAGGCACCAAATGTGATATGACCTGTGATACAACACTATTTGCTTTAAATCCTGTTTTAGTCTGAGATCTTATCAGTCAATTTGGATTTTAGTAATAGCTATTAATAATCTTTTCATTTCTGATCATTCATGCAGTGTAAGGAAGAGGTTTATCATGCTGCCCAGAGGCTGAACCAGCAAAGACAGCAAAGCCAATGTGATTCATACAGTGAAGATAGTGGCAATTACCACCAACTTGGTCACGTTTTGCCTTGAACAGCTGGTAAGTCAAGTTTAATTTTCATCATATATATTCTTAATTATTAGTTCAAGTATAAAATTGTTTAATGAACATATTTAAGAGCATGTAAAGTGCAGAATGGTATCTTAGCTTTGGTTTTCCTAAGATCTGAAGTTAATTCTTTTACAGCTATGCTGTGTCCTAGCTTACCTGCAGATACAGTGCAGCAGTTTGTGCCACATAGAACATAATGCATAATTTAGGTTTGTTTGTTTTTTTTTCTCTGAAATATGATTTTGAAAGGACATGGATGTCCTAAGAGGACATTATGTCAGTATTTACCAATCCCCCCCAAATGCTTTTACAAGGATAACATTTTTATTTGACCTTTGAAGCACCCTGCTGTTAGGGAATAAAAGGTTACTTCAGTGCTTTGATGTGAAAGCAGAAATCAGATCACAAAGAACAAGCTACAGTATGTGCAGTGAGAATGTGTGTATGAAGACTTCTGCCACTGGTCTGGTTAATGCTGTACCAGAGTTGTAGTCACAAAGATGAGGTGTGTGTTAGTGGTTAATTCCAGGGTAGTTTCCCCAGAGATTCAGGTTATTTATTATTGGAACCATTGCCATAAGCTTTTTTTTTTAATTCTTGGAAATGCAAAAATCACACTGAAGGGCTGCTGCTGTTTTTACCCTGGTCAGTTCTGCCCTTTTCCAAGAAACAGTGCAGTGTGCTTGTTGTAGTTTGTGACTTGCTATAAGAATGCTAGTAAGATCACTCAGGGCTGCTCTGAACTGTGCTGAGATCTCCTTACTTGTTTGATTTTGACCTGTGCTGGGTATGTGCAGAGGTGTCCGTATGTAAAAATCTCCACTGGGTCCATTCTGGACATCACCTGTTTCTAAACTTTTAGTCTGGGATATGCTGTGACAATATTAGTTGTCCCAGTGATGTATCAGGTCTAGCATCTTTCAATGAGAGTTGTTACTTCAGACTGCACAGTGTAAAATCCAAACCCACGCCTGATGGGTGATGTGAGGACAGTGTCCTCATACTGGAGCAGGGGGCACAAATGACCTGAATTTGGAGCCTTAACTTACTCTTACAAAATGGCTTACATCTATAAACATGAAATGCTGGTGTTCAGTGAAAAAGCAACAGAATTGTGTAAGTTGATCTTTGTTTTTGTTATTACTTATTTTTGCCTGATCCTATTTCCATTGGTCCCTTAGGAGTCATTTTAACAGCTTACTGAGATCCCCTTACAGAGGTTTTCTAGACTATGCAGCTTGCATTTACCTTTCATTTTTTTCATTTCATGCCTTGTATGTGATTTGAAAACATGTGAAGTATGATGATCTTCAGTACTGTTTTGCATCTCACTGGTCAAAAATGCAGATAATTTGCTTTAGATAATTCCAGCAGTTGCTTTGTTTCCCTGCATTTGTTCCACACATTGTTACAGTGTTCTGATAGTGTCAGCATACAGAAAACAAACACACATTTGTATTTTTTGAGTCATTTCTGATGCACTGATTCTGTGTGGATAGCAAAGATGCCATCTGTTGTATTGTTGGATAGCTGCATTTTCTACAGAATTTAGTTTCTCCTTAGATTTGCTGGTTCCTAATGGAAGAAAAACTTGAGATTTTAGAGAGGACCGATAAAGGCATAAGTTATGTTGACTTTAATAACAGGTATTTTTTGTTTGGTTTTAGTAATACCACAGTAGGTTTGAGAAGTCCTATTAAGTGGACAAAGCTAATTTATTTAATGTAAACTTATTAAAGGTCTACACAGCTTCTCAGTAAGTTTCCCATTTGGCCTACAGGCTTAATGAAGCTTGGAACCTCTCCATAATGCAATATCATGACAGTTGGATGTACTGAATCTGCTGCTTTTGGTATAAAAACAAAATCCCAAAGCAAACACAGTGGAATATGCTAAGCTAGGATTGAATTGAGTGTTGGTTGGATCTACTTGTGTTTTTCTTGTCCTCTTCTTTATGATATTAGGGTTTGTACAGTGAATGCAAATTGTTCTCTCTCATGAGTTTGCTATTACCTGAGTGGTATTTGGAATCAAATGGCTTTGGAATACTGAAAATTTCTTTATAAACATACTTAAAACTGTGCATGAAAGGGATTTTTGCCATAGAAGTCTTGCAATATATTCCAATGATACAGTTCTGATCAATGTTAGTGTAAGAAAACCTTGTTGAGCAGCTGTTGTTTTTCTTCTAGAAACCACTAGGTGAAAATGACACAGCAAATGCAGAATTTAAGCCTCCTCCAGAGTAAAAAGAACAGTATGCCATCTTCTCCAAATGCTGCAAAGCGATTGTATCGGAACCTGTCAGAGAAGCTGAAGGGGAGCCATACGTCCTTTGATGAAGCGTATTTCCGAGCGCGCTCGGACCGGCTCAGCCTCCGTAAGACCTCGATGGTAAATACCTGACATTTTTCAGCTTGTCAGTTCCCTTCCTTTAAATCTGTGTGCTTTTCATCATCACAATTCATCTGTTCCCTGACCAATATTCCCTGCTGTATATTCTTTTCAAGCTTAAATCTGTTTTTGATTCTATGTCAAAATACAGTCTGACCTTCTTGAAGGCCAAAGCAACGTACAGTGATGTTGCTTTATCTTAGGAGTAAGATCTTAACTTAGCATTAAGGTTGGTCAGAGACTGTGATGAAGGTCTCTAGATAAGACTGTAAAAAGATTACATAGGAAGCAGCGTAGCCTGGGTGCTCTACACCAGTACAGAACAGAGCCAGGCATTCTAGGGAAACAGGAAAGCATGTTTGTCTCCACTGGGCTTAGTACTCACAAGTGCTCCTACTTGTGCCAGAGCTGGTGAAGCTGAACAACCTACAGCATATGCATTTTGAAGAATGGGATGTCTGTGAAGTAATAACAGCGTAAGCTCAGTGCATAACAGAATCTTTTATATTTGCTGGATGAAAATAAATCTGCTGTTGATATTGCCATTAAAAAAAAAAATTCTCTTTTCCATAAGTAGGAACACATCTGTCATCTTCTCTTCTAAAAGATTTTGAGGGAGATCCTCTCCACTTGTGAATAGTAGTGACATAGGACATGTGTGCAAATGTGCCAGAAGTCACATCTTGGAGCCATTACTCTGATGTACTAAAGCAGATGCTTTATCTTCTGACCAGTGCATCTCTAAATATACATTTCTAATTACATGTTCCTTCAAATATGTATTCCTCTGTCATGTTTAAGTGATGAGAAATGGCAAATGAAGATAGCCCAAAGTCTGAGGAGCAATGCACTGTTGAGGCTTCAATCCTCTGCTATCCACAGAGCTATTTACTTGTGGTCCCACTTACCTCCCTTTTCAGTGCAGATCTATCAGGCTGTGATTGAATAGTGCCTATTCAGTCAATTTAATGAGGAGAATCAATTTTACACTGTCATATTGATGGTTTAATGCAATAGAGACTTCAGCTAACTTTTTCACCACAACCACTACACTACTGTGTGAGTGATGCAGCTTTTGTCACTGCAGACCTACCGTGAGTGTAAGCATCTCTGGATATTACCAGCTGGTGTCCACAAGAGTCAGTGAATAAATTCCCACTGGACTTAAAAGGCTTTGGGACCCTTTCTGTCTATTATGCCTGTTTTTTTTCACAGTTTTCCCTAGAAATAAATGGCAAGCAAACCACCAGTTAAGGGCTGGAAATATTCCAGGTAGCTAGCTGATGTATTTTCTAATCATTGAATTTCTGTGGTACAGAGGTAAGTCAGTGACTAAAAGCATGTCTCCAGACAAGTGAATAACATTTGTTAGAATTTGATGATTCTTTTTTTCCCCAGTTTTGGCTGGTGAAGAGTTTTCTTTCCATTCTCTCTTACTGTGCAACACTTTCCATTCAGTAAATTGTTGTCTTGCTGCAGACATAGCAGTGTCCCAAAATAGCTTTATTCTTGAACTCATGTTTATCAAAACAAGTCTTTGCAGAAACTACTTTAATGTTTTTTTCCAACTCCAGTAGCACATAGTAGACTTTTTCAGGCTAACCTAGAGCAAATATCTTGAAAGGGGTACTTCATTTTAATTAAGCTACGTAAGATTGCATTTCTAAACACTAACAGCCCTGAATCACTTACTGGAACATGGTTATTACTTACTGCAAAGCAATACTGTAGTTCTTTTCAGTATATATATTTGTGCACTGGTGTAACACCTAAATAAATTAATCACATAGCACAGCTGCCTAACTAACGATTAGAGGCTGCAAGTCCGCATCAAGGAAAAAGACATGTCTCTAAACCTTACCTGATCATTGTAAATGGGATTGAGTTTCTCTTTGAATTCAGTGACTTTGTCTAATCAGAGAGGAATAGAAATATCTAGCAAATGTAAATGAAGGCAGAAATCAGAAGGGTCTTGTTAATATTAGTGACAATTTGATTGAAACTGAACACGTGCTTCTAACAACAGTACATCTTACCCCCATCTGAGGTTCTTAGCCCTGAACTGCAAACATCTGAACAATGCTGCGATTCTAGAGTCACTTATATAAGAATACAATCAGCTTTACTGCAGCAGAGAACAATATATTATTCAAGTATATTCCTATTTTCTATGTGAAAGCAAATAGTTGTGGAAAAGTTGGTCAGGAGCACAGAACATTTTCTGGGCTTGGAAAGCCGGGCTCAGTGCAGGCTTTCAAATGGGACAATTATTAGCATGGCTGAAAATGGGGTAGTTATTTCACTGTCTCACCAGGGTGTTTTTTTGAGTGAAATAAGTCTATTATGGTTAGATGCACACTACTGTGTGGATGAGGGATACATACATGCCTATTTGGAAATGTCATATCATAATTCCATGTTTTTACAATCTCTGAAGTTACAAGAAACGCCAAGATATTTCAGACTAATGGTTGTGTCTGAATTGTTCATTTGGAAGACCTGATATTTACAATTTGGTCTGAAAATTATTTGGATTGGAAGAAGTAGGTTATAAACTTAATGCTGTTTAAACGAGTGCAACTTTTTCAATTTGATTTCTAATGAAATGAAGAAATAGCAATTTGGTTGTATTTTTTTTCATTTTTGGTGGAATGTTTGTGCCAGTAGATTCCCTGGCCAGAGTATTTATAAGGAACTAACTTAAGCATGTGCTTATATTTTGTACGGCAAATGACTTCAGGAGAAAACTTCAGAAATGCTTTAGGTATTTGGGTTGGCAAGTGAAAATCTGATGATGCGTTTTTAAAGACATCTATGCAGGTTTAAGTCTTGACAATGAATCCAACAATAACAAGTCAAATCAAAGTTTGGAAAATAATTCCACAGGAATTGTTCAGGTAGGTAAAATCTTTTGTCAGAGTACGTATCTGTGCTTGGAAAAGGGCCAAATGCTTCTGTCAGCCACACCACAGTTAATTTCAGCTGCAATACTGAATGCAGGCATCTTCCTTATTATGTAACAGGTCTTTTTGTTCGTTCTTATGTAATGCAAGAAATTTCTGCAATGCAGTACAGATTGATGGAGTTTCATGCAGAATTGGAATTAAAGCTCAATAATGGTCTGCAGCCCTTTCGGTGGCGTTCTACAGATGATAATTCACTGAACCTTTCTGCACAATCACGAGGCCAATGAAAAGAGGGGACTATTTTGGTTTAAGAAAGAAATGGAAACAGTGCACGTACCCAGAGCCACAGAAGTGAAAATCTGAATGGAGAAATACCTTGTTTCCTGTTCTGAATCCATACCACAAGTCTGTCACTGATTAATACAACCAGCTCTGCCTTTCTTTTCTGCTCCCCAAGTGATTGCCAGTGTTTCTTCAAATGAACTTAAGGAATAGAAATGAGGTCTAATGTAGTCATTCTGTTTAGTTCAACTAATCACCTTTGTAATGAGCTCTTTATGAATCAACTGTTAAGTAAGTTCATTTTCTGTGATCACTTACAAGAGCAATTTGTTCTTGCTTATTTTCTGATTGCATGAGCATGGAGATGCTTCTGAAGCATAATTCCATTTATTTCTTTAAATAACAGCACAGGGGAAGTTCCAAAGTAAGTAGGAAAAGAATTTGAAATGAGTTTAAGCTGAGATGAAATTAATGTCTTTTATAAAGTAGATAAAATATATTAACCATTTCACCAAAAATACCTACTTTTCCAATCAGTCATATGAAAAACAATCTTCCATTTCACAGTTACTTGACTGAAATAATGACATTTCAAAAATCTAAAGAGCATGGCCTTTTTACTTCAATCACTGCACTATTTATGGTAATTCTGAGTCCATAGTACAGTGATGTGCAGCTATTACATGTAGAGAATTGACTTGAGTGGGAGTCAATGCCATTTAGCACGTGTAGAATAGCACAATTAATTAAAATATTTTGTAATTAAATTAAACTAAGCCTCTTCTGGTTTCTAGCTAGTGCACCTCATCTCTTTGGACTGGGGGGAAAACACCAGAATATGGCTAAGATCTGTCATCTTGGAGCAGATTTGTGGACTACTGGAATAAAAGAAAACATTTCTGCATTGCAGTAACAATTTGTCATTTTTAACTTAAAATAATAGATATCTGACCTCCATTCCAACCTTCACTGGGGATGTACCCTCTCTAATGATGGTATACATCCTGAAGGACAATTTTTTTTTTCCCTTGAACAGAGGCATAAATAGAGAATGATAAATTTAGCTGCTCACCATTTAGTTTATTGTCAGATTTTTCTCTTCCACCTAACACTGAAGTAGGATCCTGAGTATTTGACAGTAAAGTGACATATGAGTCCCAGAATCTAGAGAAGAATCTGAAAACAAGAACTTGATAGACACCCATTTTTTATGAAACACTTGTGTAAGTATTGTCTTTTATTCTGCTTGGAAATCTACATACAAACTATTTCTCCACAGTGAGTTATCTTTTCTATTCAATAGTCTGAAAGGTTTATTTGCAAGTCAGCACTACTGTCCTGGATTTACTTTCTTGTTGCTCAGTTCATGTCATCCACATACAATCATCAAACTCAAGTATCTCATTTCTCTGTATTGGAAATCTGGGGTAACCTTTTGGTTCTGCTGATTCCTAATACTCAGCATATTAAAACTTCAAAGGCCACATAATCTTTGCAGTTTCTTAGTGTGATATGAATACTTTACATCCAAAGCAGCAGACGGAAAGATCTCTGTCAGGTCATACAATATTTGAAGAGATTTCTAAGTTTAAGCATAACTGAAAAGGCCAGATCAAGTTCCAGCTTGTAGCTGTGTACTCATGTTTTCAGAACCACTTGTAAACCATTACTCTGTATATTCTGGGAGGAAATGAAAGATGTTCCAGCAGATCAGTGCTGTCAGGAGGTGGTGTTTCACTGAAGGCTTAGGCAAGGGTATTCCAAATTAAAAATGCATCTGTGGGTGAAATGTTGATGTCTAATCACAATAGAAGACAGCTTCAATTCACTGTTTAATTCATACAGTAACAAAAAGTTGCTGTTTAACAGTCACTGTGTTTCTTCTGTTGTGGGTTCTGGGATGCAGGAAACCAGTTTACATCCATCTGCATCACTTGATCTCTTACGTAAGCGTTTTTCTGTACGTCCGTTGGCGCAGTATTTCTACATAGACCTCAGTTCCATTATGAGACCACAAGCTGAGCCCTCCTTGCTTAGCTGGGCCTCTTGCTTCTACTGATTCGTTCTTAAGAGGAAAAAAATAAATAATTATGGCAAGAGGACACTGGGAAAGAATTTAAAGAATCCTGGCAAATAACATAATTACTGTAGGCTCTGGAAGGATGTTCTCATAACAGAAACCTTCAGACCATGCTATCCTGCACCTCCTTCTCCCCCGCTCTATTAGGAAGTGAAAGCTGTTTGGGTTGTTGCTTTTTGTTTTGTATTACACAGTTCTTTTACCTCCTTGACTTTGGTGAATAGAAAGTTTAGTGGCTCCTCCTGCTTGAGAGTTGGCATCAAGTGTGCCCCTGATTTTTCTTACTTTTGAGCTCATGTTCTCTGCTGTTCAGACATGTCTTTTTCTAATCAAGCCCAGTGGAGGATCAGTGCATTCAGTCTCATTTCTACATCTTTATTTAAGGGCTATATATTTCAAAGCTTCTTCTAGCTACAAGCTAAATACAAAAATATGAGCAGTGAGAAATGACTGAAATGTTGGAGTGAGCACGAGATCACACCACACCTGTGGTTTCTCCCAGAATTGTTTTATTTGACTTCTGGTTAGTTGAGTTTGTACACCTGAGGTTTTTACTTCAAATTTTGAGAATGAAAAAGTAAGTAGTACAAGAACCTTTCAAAATCATAGTCTTTCATCCAGCCTCACATCAAAAACATACCGTGTTGCCCATATGGTCAATTTCAGGTCCAAAAAAGAATGATGGGTTTGAATCTCACCTGAAAGAGGCTCAAGCACGCAGGTCTAGAAGTAGAGCAAGCTCAGTTTTCCTGCAAACATCTTCCATGTTTCTAGCTGAACTTAGGATGATAAGGTTCAATATTTTATAGTAATGTCACAAGAGTCATTTCTGTAATTTATTTCCTAAAGTTCAAACATTTTCAAGTTCTACTGAATTTCTGTTTTTGCTGGTACACAGAATTTCCAATGCAATGAAGCCATGTTTGAGGCCGTAGAACAGCAAGATCTGGATGCTGTTCAGATTCTTCTCTATCAATACACACCAGAGGAACTGGACCTGAATACTCCAAACAGTGAAGGACTTACTCCTTTGGATATTGCTGTTTTAACTAACAACATCCCTATTGCTAGGACTCTTCTACATGTTGGGGCAAAAGAAAGCCCACACTGTAAGTATTCAGTTTGAATGTTTTTAGATAATTCTGTAATAATTAGGTTTGCTTTTGTTTGGGAAAATTAATTGTGTTACAAAATCGGACTTTTTTTTATCATGAAGTTGATTATACCTGAAATAGCTGCACAGTGCTGGAAGGATATTTGCAGAATTATCTCCTTGTTGAACGTGTGCTCAGCAGATAGTTTTTGTTCCCTATGTAAGGTAGAGTAAGTATGAATCCGATTGAACTTCTAACCTAATAAACAGTGAGGCAGCTGAGTTAATATCAATACTGAAAAAATATGGAATGGAGTGATCATGGTCTGAAACAGAGGTTGTCATTAAAAATGAAAAGAGTATGGGTATCTGGGCTGTGGTGCGTTTTGGTTATTTTGATCTTGGTTGTGCTGCCTTCAGAAGGCTGGTTGTGTTGAAATCTATCATTTCCATTACTTCAGACTCCTGCTCCTATCTCCTCAGCCCTTCTCTTCAAATAGCCTCAACGAGAGTTTCCAAGCTGTAGAGAAGCAGAGGATATCTGAGCACAAAGCAGACCTTCACACTTCACTGGAATGCTATCACTGCTTATAACTGCGTATTGTAGTTATAGAGCTATCCTTTGTATTCCTTCACGGGCATTTAAATGCACAATTTGTGGGCTGCAGGGTGACTTACCAAACCAATTAATCAACCGTAAACCATGACACAAACTCTGACGCCTTACTTATGTCTAAAAATACACCAATGTATGTGAATTTGTTTTAAACTGTCAATGCCTATATTTAGGACATTCCCAGCAAGGCTATAATGAGACTGTGTTTGAGGGGTTCGGCCACTGCAGACTCTGCCATTAATTTGAAGTTAGTTAAATTAACAACATTTAGTGCTGGCATGTCAATCTCAGTGCTCCAGGAAATTGCACCTTGAGGCTACTAACATTGCCAGTTTTTTCACTGGAGAGCGTGTGTGCATGTGTGTGTGTGCATGTTGAGTTTTTTTTGCCAGACCCTCAGTGTTGGTACACCTTTATTGCTTTTCTATGTCCACAGCACTTATATTATCATTTATTCTGGCCTCCTTTAACCTTCCCTGGAGATTTTTGCATAGTGTAGCTGCTCAGTGAAAAGATTTTTTTAGCTTTATATTTATTTGTTTATTTTTCTGTCATGGTTCATGACTGAGGCTTTAAAAAAAAGTGTGACAGCATTTAGAGTACATGATTGACTGCTGAAGCAACATTCATTAACCATGACAAATCTAGAGGAAAACACAGTCTTGAGTGTTCTAAACAGCAGTAAAAAAGACTAAACTAATTTTTCATTGACCTCATCTGTAAATAAATGCAGTCTGATGGCGAGCAGGGGCAATCATAAATTAGTATTCATTTCCTGTAATTAATGCAAACATGCCTATGAACACAGAGAATATGAATATATAACCACCTCATTTCCATTTCAAAATATACCCACCAAATTTCCACTTCACTTATCTTGATTTTTAGCTTTTCTGATTGAAATAATGGTCAAAATGTCCTCAGTAAAAAGCAGAGGGCTGTTTTGGTGTGTTTTATTTTTTAATTTCAGCTTAATGGTTTACAATTGCTACTTAGGAACAAAATGCAAAAAAAAAGTTATTTTCAGCACTTGAAACAAAAGTCTGCAGCAGTTTCCTGTGAGGCTTTAATCTCGGGGAACAGACAGCAGTCACTTTTTTTCCCCTCCCTTAGCGTTTCTGCTTTCTTTTCTGTACCTAACCAAGCCTTCTAGAATTAAACCCATTCTGTATGATATTAGGCCTGCAAGGATGTGATTAGAACCCAGCAGGAGCATTTTCATTTCACTGTGGTGATCAATTGAGCAAGACTTTGCTGGGCTAAGTGGGAGGGCTGGGATTTCAAGGTAAGATTCTGACTCGTACCGATTTTGGGACAGGACACAAACATCTTTTAATCTGATTGTAAGCGGGTGCATGGCACAAACACATACACTTGAGAAGCTGAGGTAAATGATTTCCCCACCGCAAGTGCACACAGGGAGCTTCTCACAGAGAGAACTCTTGTTCTTCTACTATATTAGACATAGAGATCAAGTTGAAATTTCACTGCAGCATAAGTGCTGTAGGAGAGAGGATCTGAAGGACAGATAGCTTGCAGCTGCCTGGAATTGGCAGAACAGCAGATAAAAGAACAGAAAGTAAAACTCTGATCTCCTTTTCCACATGGACCTCGGGCTGTATAAATCTTAACAGGAGCCCAGCATTTCTTAAACATGAAGCAGGATCAGAAATTGCAGCATTTAGAATATTAATTTAGTGGGGAGGAAGCGAGACATTTGCTCTTGTCAAAGCCCACTGCATTATTAATCTTTTCAGTTGCTTTTGTTCGCATACTTGTGGTCTGGCTAGGTTTGTTCATGTGAACCTAAATATAAATAAGATTAAAATTTCCAACGACTGATTTGATGCATTTCCAAGACCAGACAACTGTGGATCTGAATCGTGATGAAAGAGAGAGAGCCAGATCCTCAGTGAAATCTTGAACCAATGCCAACCTACAATCACCTGAAGTTCTGGCACATAAAATCTTCTTTCTCAGTCCTGTTTTGCTATCAGATGTGTTGCACGCTTATTGTAGGCATGAAGCCAGGAAACTGTCACCTTTGGCCTCTCAGTAAACAGCCAGTTGTGAGGACCAGCAGATTCCAGTAAGCCTGGCCTCTTGATGTCCATACAAAGAATGATCAAACTTCAAGAGGGATGGCTACAGGCCAGCTTCTGAAAGCGAGGTCTTAGAAACAGCCATTCTTCAAAAGCAACCTTTGGATGTCAGAGGTGCTGGGTAATTCTTCACTCTCCTCCTGTGGTTTTAAAGATTCCTTGTCAGTTTTCACATTATTGTGCAGCATTATACTTAGACTCTGATAGATTTCAATGGTGATACAGTTACACGAGACAAATGGCAAAATTAAAATGAGGTTCAAACTGAATAAAGCAAACACCTTTTTCAATCACAGGTCAGTAAAGCAGTTGTACATATTGCTCAGAGAGCTTGTAAAGCTCTATCTCAAGAAGTTTTCCAGGCCAGATGGGTAATTCCTCAGAAACTTGGCCTGAACTTGCATCTTGTTTTCAACAAGAAGCTTGAACATTAAATTTTGAACAAGATAATTAGAAAGGCCCTTCCAACCCAATTTATCCTGTAATCCTATGATTCCAGTTTAGGAACTATACATTCATATGTGCATATATGATCACTCATTATGATGTCAAAAGCCAGTCAGCCTTGGTCCCTTACGTCAGCTTCATGTTGTCAGAACCATATACTGCTCCTGGTTTATGCAAGTAAATGGTGGTGAAGCCTGTGCAACACTGCTGCTGTTCGTATTAAAAACACAGGCAGACTAGCAGGCTGGCTGTCCCTACACAGCAACACTCCATTATTGTTAAGAGGAGCATCTTGTGCCAATTCTAAATAAATGTGAATCCTTGTGAAGTGTTTTAAATAAATAAGGGGTTTTGTTTAGAACTGTCTCAAAGCTCGTCTGCAAAATCACCAGGCACCACAGAAAAGCTGCTTTCTGTGACTTCGGAATTTTTTTTCTTGTATGTTATTTCCTGTGGATTGAACATCAGATAAATTCTTGCACTGCTCAGATTAAACAGCTTTACAAATCCTATTTTCTAAACTGTTAATAGTTTGAACAATTTCAGGCTAAAAGCAGTTCTGAAAAATAGCATTTAATTCACTACATTTCTCTGTATCATCAAGGGCTGGTGTAGGGCAGTCTTGTGGACCTGGGCTAAGAATTTTAGTTTATATCCAATGTGACTGTCATTTTTCACACTTATACAGCACACAGTATTTCATACAGGCAATTCATACTAATTAATGTTGAATTAAAATCATTCTGAGCACTTGAGACTAACAAAATCTCCATGCGTCAAACAGCTCACGATCCATCAGGTCTGTCAGAACTGATTACAGGCCATAGTAAAGGGCAACACTGAGGCACAGAGATAACTGGAAAGAGAATCACAGTACTTCAGCTGTGGCCCTTAAACACAAAACTCTCACTCTTAACTTTGCCAGTTAGGTCTCTCTTCACTTGTAGAGATTTATATGTTGTGTATTGTTTTTACCTATAACCAACACCAGTTTCTTTCTTCCTGAGAAAACATATGATACTATGGCAAAGTAAGAGTTAGAGACCAATTTCTTTATTATTTTACTTCTTTTATAGTATTCTATCAACCTAAAACATGTAAGCAATTTCAGGCTCATTAAGACATTGTTAAGCTTTTGAGAAACACCAGAAGATAAAATCTACTGTTTATTCATGTCATTATCCCATTTAAGTGGCCAGATCCTTAAGTGTGGTACAAATTGGTGTGGCTCTAATCAAGTTGATGACAAGGTATCTGTTGGAAGGCACAGCGTTCAAGGATTTGGCCTTATGTGGGTTATGTTGGAATGCATAAGGCCAGAATTTTGTCACATGAGACCATGAAGCAATTATTTACTTTTCCCTTTTCTTGGTAGTTGTTAACATGGAAATCAGGTCAGTGCATCTGTGTACATTGGTCCAGGAAGCACAGCAGCGAGTTACTGAATTGTCTGCACAAGTGATGAATGAAGGCCTTGGTACAGACAACACAGAAAAAGAGAAGCAACTAAAAGCATGGGAATGGAGATACAGGCTATACAAGCGCATGAAGGCAGGCTACGAGCATGCTAGTAAGTAGAAGAAAGTAGCTGCAAAGTTTAAGACAAGAACTCGTATGGTGGCGAAAACTGCCTTTGTTGAGCAAAGATGATCCTCACAGCACTGCTGTGAAGCAGATGAATGTTAGGGTGGGAAAAATAAGGCGCTCAGTTAAATGGTCTTCCCAAAAGTGAGAAGGAAATCCGATACCAGTTCCAGAAAGGACCGAGCATCTGAGAGCAGCAAGTGTAAAACTGATCAGATGAGATTACAGATCCTTAGTTCAGGACCTAATGATTCTGTCTTGTCTCTTCACATTTACTTCTGGATGTTATTTCATATGATCAGAGTTTAAAATAAGACAATTAGAATATATGAATACGGAGGAAGTAATAGAGGAACAGTGGTCTTTTTCTCTTGTTGTACTCTATTTTATTAAATAGTTCTGACTTAAAGTAGTTGAGTTTTTCTTAATATTTGGTTAAAAATGAACTTAGATTTTTCGTATAAAAATTATCAATACTTATTTCTATTGTTGACATCTACATGTGACATTTCATCAGCATAGTTACAAATTGGGCTACTTGGGGTGCAGAACTGTTTAAAGAAAATGGGAATAAAAAAAGAAATAAGCAGGACTGAACTCTTTCATATTTGGATCTTTTAGCTGTACCCTTCCTCTTCAATAAAATACAATCATTGCCATTAACATTTTTACAGCCACCTTTATATATGTATACACTTGGAAAAATTTTCTCAATTTTATTGTATTTTCTCAATTTTATTGTATTTTCTCAATTTTATTGTATTCTAAGACTGTTTCTTCAAGACAGAGGTAATGCCCCTTGTATTGGATATTAAATACAGCCCAATACAGCAGTGAGTTAATAAAACGATTTTTTTAATCAGTTCCAGCAGTAAGTCATGACATTTTATGTTTGATTTCTGAATTGAGTCTGATTGATATTCTGTGAACTCAGCTTTTTTAAAACAAACAAACAAAAAAAAACAAAAAACAACGACAAAACAAAATAATAATAGTAAAAAAAAATTAGACCTCAACTGACAAATGTGTTTTGGAACTACTGCACTGAAACATTTGTGGAATCTGCAATTTCTGAATCACAATAACGTAAAAAGGTTTTCTGTCATTTAATAAATTTGAATTTGTTAGTGAAACTATAAAAGTTTAATTAGCTCTTTGTGGTTTTGTCCTTTCTCTCTCTTCCTACCCACCCCAAGAGATTTATAGGGGCTTTTCATTGACATAATTAGCATGAATCTGTTTTATTAGGTTACATATATGCAGGAAGATATTTTTAACTGAAAGGAGCCAAAAACCATGATAGAAACAAATGGTGTCTGCAGGATATTGTTAGCAGGGCACTAATTAAAATTCTCAAAAGGCAGAGAACACAAACACCTACAACCCAAAGCTCACAATTGCAGGGTGATTTTCAGTGGGTTCTTTGAAGACTCAGAAACATTGTTTGAATAGGATTTGTTGTGCTGAAGAGCTGATGTTTTCTCTTCTCTCCCAGGAGCCCCTGAGGCGCCAACCAATGTCTGTCTCATGGTAACAAGCAGTACATCACTCACTGTCACCTTCCAAGAACCTCTGAGTGTCAACTCAGCTGTGGTGACCAAGTATAAAGGTACTGGATTTAGATATCTTTCATTTGCCTTAACAATCTGTAAACCTTTGATGGCCAAGTGAAAAAGGTGTTTTCGCTAGAAATGTCTGACTTTAATTATTTTCATAAGAAATAGCTGTACAAATTGAATGTTCTTTGAAGATTCCTTAAAGACAAAGTTTTATTTAAAAAGAAAAAAACAACAAACAGAAGCTTTCTTCTTGAGTGCTTTGAAGGAGTTTGCTTGATGTTCTGTAGTTAAGCTCAGTGACTGGGTTGACATGAGTCAGCTATGCAATGCAGACTAACTTTTGGTGCCTGTGGGCTTCTGAAACTGTATGTATCCTTGTAAATGCCAAACCCACACCACAGTTCCTTGAAGGAATGCCTCTGGAAGTTGAAACTTCTGGCAGAGGTATCGTACAGCCCAACTAATTAGGTATTCCAGGGCTGCCACATCATTCTTGGAAGAGCTATACATATGGAGTGGCACCAGTTAGTTGCAAAGTGGAATGAATAGGAAAATGCTTCCATGTGAATAGCTCTGTTGAGTAGAAAATAATCTCTATTCCATAGGAAATTCCAATCAAAAACAAACAAAAAAAGTTTTATCAAAGATTGAAATCGAAGTGTTCTGATTTAAGGGACTTGCTGGTTCTCTGAAATGATTGGAACAGTGAGTTCCTCAGTGTTTAATGGAGCAATATGCAACCTCCAGTTTTAACTTGGAATGTGGGCCCTTCCACAGGTAAAGGGACTTAAAAGCACTTCCTGAAGATCTGAGGCCGCCTTTGACTGCTCCAGGGAATAGCTGAGAGTGGAGACCCAGAAAGTCCTCTTAGAGTGGGTTTTGATACGTGTAGGAGGAGCTATGATAGCTGGGTCTGGGGCAGTGTCCTATTTCTGGGTATAGGTGCCAGAGCGATTGCTTCGACAGGAAATATGCAGAGAGCTGCAGTAGAGCAAGTGCCCAACAGTTCATGAAGTTCCTCTAGAGTGGGACACGCCAGTGCACAGCCTTCAGTGGCATCACAAGCACCCAAAGGACTAAATGAGATTATTTTGGAAAAGGCATGTTTTCTTACCTCTCTACTTCTGATTTGAGATGCCAGTCATCGTTGGCTATGCTCAGTACACTTTTTTTCATAGTGCAAGGAAAAAAACCTCCCAGACATCACTAAAACAATCAAAGTGATTCCATTCCTGATAGCCTCAGTAGAAGGGTAAATGACTGTATTACACCTAGTCAGCCTTGCAGTGCTGCAGGAAGTGTTATTTGCAAAAACATCAAAGACCTTTAGGAGACTAAATCGAATTTTAAACAATGGGTTGGGTTGCCAGGAAACTAAATTTCATTTAAGGGCTTCCTACTGTCTGATTTACTTGTGAATATGATACTTGGGCTCCTAAAAGACTTAACTCTCTTGAAAATATTAGCCTGCTCTTTGTAATATGCGGATTTTAAACAAATCTGAAATGTTGTCCAGATTCTCATTATAACAAATGTTGATATTTTCACAGTAAAGACAATTCCTAGATAGAGCTGATTTTTAAATCAGAATATTATTCCTAGTTTTAAAGATTGCAGTATTTTTATCTTGCTAACTTAGCTGTGTTGAGCACGGTTTGCACCTTTCAGTTCTGTCCCATTATGGTAAGTACACCATAAAGAGAATTTGATCCAACTTGACCCAACTTTCCAATCAGACGAGGTGGCATTGCTGTCATATTTTGAATTACTCTCGTTGGTCTTTGTTTTATGCTACATCAAGTTGACAGTTCTGGCAGAAAGTTCTTTTTAAATCCTCTGTCCCATGAGAATTGAATATTTATGGTTAGATAAAAAGAAAGATAATTAATAGCTTCTTTTGGTGACTTTTGGGAATTAATTAAGCACTGGTTGTAGAACTGCTTATTACATTATGGAGTGAGATTCTTCGAGCTAGTTTTAGAGGCTGTAAAAAAGAAACAACCATTGAAATGATCACTTGTACGAATGATTGGAACCAGCTAGCAATTAGCCTGAAAGGAGATCTTGATAACATTGTCTGAGCATCTTTTCAGTCAAAGTATTAAGCACTTATGCAGAAAGCCATCTAAGTATTTTACTGACTCAGAGAAGAAAGTGAGCTGTTAGGCTTTATTTCCCTCTTTACCATTTCTTTTTTTAATAAAAGATCAGGAGCATTTGTAGCAGTGTATAGGGAATACCTGCTCATTTACAGAAGCTAATAATGTTCTTTTATATGGGTCTGAATTACAGAGGATAAAGCTGACATAAAACTAGACTTTTGTTCAGTCTAGTTTTGTTCCCTAAAAACACCGAGAAGCTGCCAATTCCTTTTCTTCTGTGTCATCCTTTTTTTTCTTTTTTTTTTTTTAACATATTTTTCCAAAGCTTTACTTGCTCAAATGTCATTTAGAAACTAGGCTTGGAACGTTATCTAGCTGTCTGCTATTTTCCTGTGTATGACTTTTCCCTTGTTAGCTGTATAACTTACAAATAATAATACAGGAGAATAATACTTTGCACTCACTCTCTAACCACTAAAACCATCTCACTTCATTAGGAGATTTAATTTTAACCACACACGGTGAATGAGTATTGACTTTGGTGTCCCAGCTGGATGGCAGTTCAGCGACTGCATTCTGTTGAGCCATTGCTTTAAGGAGCCAGAGTATTCTCTACTTCCTCTCCTGGATTGTTGTTTAATGTTGCAGGCACCATCCTAATGGCTTCCTTCAGTTTCCCTCCAGAGAAGGCTACAACGTGGTGGTGGCTGATGTGAAATGATTCCTATGTATATTGTAACTTAGTAAAGTGTTTTGAGGCTGGAAGCAGACAGGCATGCCATAAATCAATAATAATAGTAATAATCTGCTCTGTGCTAGAGGAAGATTCAAAGCCAGAGACACCTCACCCCAGCCAGTTCTAGGAAGGATGTGAAGCATCACCATAATTTGGGAAGAAAAACCCATACCCTTGGCTAATCACGCCCTAAAGCCAAACTTCACATCCCATCATGGAAGCACTTACGACCTACTTTTGTTTTACATCTCTGTAAACGCAATCAAAATGTTCTGTGCTATTAAACAAAATAACACCACAGTTTGAAGCTAGAGTGAACCTTTCTATATGTTTTAGAGCTACTCTGCAGTCCTCATCTTGTTGAAGAAAGTCACAGCAACAAGGAATCCACGTGGGCACTACTTGACTCCTGGGAACAGCACAGGTGGAGCCCTGGGTCTTATAAGACCTGTTGTCTTTAGCTAATTAGCATTTCTAGGTTTCACAAATTCCACACAATGCATGTACATGGAGAAGTCTGTTTGTTTAAAAGAAGAAAGAGTGTTGACAAGCAATTTTATTGTACTTATTTTCTATGCACTTGAATCCTGATACTTATTTTGCTTTTGCAGTGAATAAGTACACATTAACTCTGTCTTTTTGCATATCGTTTTTTAATGAATTTTCCATCAGAAGTTGACATAATTGTGCACTTATACCCAGGTGTAGAAAAGGGAAGAAAAATGGGCACAGTGCTGGACATCACGTACTTGGAAGGACCACTGTGCAATGGAAGATCTCCATTTATATTTTACTTACAATTTTTCAACAAACATCTATATCCCTCTTTGGAGGAAAAAAAGAAGAAGAAAAAGAAAGAGCTTGCATAACCAAAGCTGAGCTAATTTATTTAAGAGATAGGAACTGTTTATATTTGAAAAGAGATGAAGGAAGAAAAAATCTGATCCATGTTTGATGTGGCAAACAGAGCTGATCTTCTCCCTGGATGTAGCTGGGGACTTGGATGCCAAGTTATTTTCCAGATAGGGATGCTAAGCCTGTCTGGTGCACTTCAGCCTTTTGTTACCTTTTTTAGTTACTTTAACAGAATATTTCATTGTAGTCAGGATTTCCCAGCTGCCTTCTAGGATTTCTGTTGGATGGAAAGGTTTTATTTTCTATGTCAGTGTAGCTCTTTAAAAAAAGCAAGAGGTGGGCAACTAAATCAGGAAAGAAGAACTTATGCCTTACTTGAATTTTGACAAGAAATATCTCCCTGCCTCCTTTCCTCCAAGGCAATTCAGATTTATTTTTTTTTACTGGAGCAATTCGTGTAAACTGCCTTTGAATCACTGGTTCAGTCCTAGTGAGATATGCAGCAGCCTCAGGGTTTTGCTTTGGGATGGCCACATGAAGCGTGTTGGTTATAGACAAGCACCTTTATCCAGGAGAAGCTGTTGCAATTTACTGTTCTCATTGCAAGTCTCAACTAACAGATTTACTGAGCCACCTTTCATTACAGGTCAGCATCTGAGATCATGAGATGAAGCATTTTCCAAGTCAGGCCCATAGGATGTGTGTTGTGTATTTAAAAAAAAACCACAGCATTAGAGATTCTCTGATATCTCGCTGTGTCAGTGGAAGTCTTTCACCACAAACTTTTGTGTGAAAAGCCTCAAAGTCTGTACAGAAAGGCAGCTGTGATTTTTGTGTGATCCCGTTTGTTTTTCTTTTGAGAGTAATGCCTTCACAACCAAACGATCTGATCAGTTTGTGTGGGCCTCTGTCCCTGTAAACATTTACAAACACACAGACATTGCATGTTTTGTGGTTTGTCCATCTGGGTGAACTGCAGTGTTTGATCAAGTTTGGTATTGTTCCATGCAGGCTTCCTGCTTGGTGCATTTGGCTCCAGATAGGATTGACTGCTCTAATCGATAGAGCTTATATGAAGACTGAAGTGCATACATACATACAAAATCTCCTACTTTTTTCCCTCTTTGGTGGCAACTGACCATTGACATAGCAGTATGAGAGCAGAAAGCAGCAAGCTTGTGCTTTGATTTCTAGAAGAATCCTGGTTATGGAAAAGAATACTTGTAGCAGTGAATCTTAGGTATGAAAATGGTGCCTTAACATTAGTGCCTATCGATCTTTGTACAGTAGATGGTGCATCACTGCTTGATTCTGTTCCAGTTTAAAGCGGAATTATGTAGTATTCTGCATTTGATTT